GACAATAAGGTTGGGCTACAGGCTCCTGATCTGCTTTTTAGTCTCAGGTGTTGAGGTGCTATGATATTCTCACTCTCCTGGCCCTTTCAGAGAGATGTTCATGACCTTGTGCCTCTATGTCTGGTTTTCTCCTCTTTATAGACATTGATCAGTCCATCAAATTAAGAGCTCCATATATAAACTCCTCACTGAAGATGTAGGGAGCACAGAATGAGAAATGAAAAAGATCTTAAACTACTCATAGCTTTATGATTATTTGCAAATATAACATCTGTGGTCTCCATCTGAACTTTCTTTTTCTTTCATCATATTCTTTTCATTTTCTTCTACTGTCATAAATCATAATTAAAATGTGTTGGAAACTAACTATATTCAGTCATTATTCTAAATGCTTTTTAACATTATTTAATCCTTACAACAATATTAAAAATTAATCCTACTCTCATGGAATCAATTCAGATTCAAAGTAACTGCCCATTGGGTTTCCAGGGGTGTAAAATTTAACAAGAGTCAAATGTCAATGTGGCTCAGCTAGTGGAATTGAATTGATACCTGCTGAGCATTAAACATAATACACTACACCACCAGTGTTATTCTCCCTGTTTAACAAGTGAAGAATTAAAGGCCCAGAGTGGTTAAGATAAGTTCTCACAGTTAGGAAGCCTCACACATAGGTTTGGAACACAACCAGTCTTGTTCAAGAACCCACACTCCTTGTCACTTAACACTTCCATATAACTCATGTTTCAATTTCCACTTAACCTATAATTTGTCAAATAATGAAGATAAATGTGAAAGAACTAGAGAAGAAAGGGCCAGAGATTCATGACTCATTTTACAATGACATTATAATCTTATCTCTGAATATTGTAGTTAGACATTAGTTTGACTCCTTTAGAGAGCCATAGTTACAAGTATATATTTTCTTATGTATACTTGTGTTGCGTAAGATTTATTTTTTAAAAGTCTATGTATGGAAAGAACAACGTGTGTATTGTATAAATGAGAATTTAGAAGTTAAAGTGTTAAATGTTATGGAAATCTCATTATATCTGCCTAGTATCCCATGTTCATAACAGAAATATTTCCCACTTAAGCATTAATTAAATCTACATGTTCACTAGCTTACCCCAGGAAATTTGAAGGAAATCTGCCTGGCCAAATGAAACGAAGAGGCCCATATTTGTTCCCATTCCCAAGAAAGGTGACCCAAAAGAATGTGAAAATTATTCAACAATATCATCAACATCACATGCAAGCAACATACTGCTGAAGATCTTTCAAAAATGGATAGAACAGTACACAGACAAAACTGCCACAAATTCAAGCAGAGGCCATTGCTCTAGGGATATCATTACTGATGGCAGATGGATCCTGGCTGAAAGCAAAGAAAACAAGAACTTCTGCTTCTGCTTTATTGACTGAAAAAGGATGTGATTTTGTAGGTAACAAATTGCAGCTAATATTGAGAAGAATAGGTATTCCAGAATATTTATTTGTGCTCATGTTAACCCTATACCTTGAAAAAAGATATGAGAACAGAGCAAGACAATACTACACGATTTAAAAGTAAGAAAGGCATGTGTCAGGGTTGTATTCTGTCTCCACTTCAATCTGTATGTTGAGCAAAATTACTCAAGAAGCTGAACTCTGTGAAGAAGAATGTGGCATCAGGATTGGAAGAAGACTTAACAGTAACCTTCGGTATGCAGAAGAATCAATCTTACTTGCTGAAAGTGAGGAGGACTTGAAGCATGTGCTGCTGAAGATCAAACACTACAGCCTTCAAAATGCATTGCATTTTAATGTCAATAAAACAAAAACTCTCACCACTAGACCAATAGGCAACATCATGACAGATGGAGGAAAGAATGAAACTGTCAACAGCTTTATATTACTTGGATTCACTGTTGGTAACAGCAGTCAAGTGTTCAGGAGGTGCATTTCATTGGAAAAATCTGCAGTCAGAGACCTCTCCAAATTATTGAGGAACAATGATGATAGCCTAAAGTGCTCCTGATTCACACAATGGTCTTTTCAGTCACTTGTTATACTGTTGAGAGCTGGACAAAGAGTAAGGATGACAGAAGATGAATTGAAGCCTTTGAACTATTGTGCTAGAGATCAGTACTGAATAGCTTATGGACTGCCAAATGAACAAATAGATACCTTGGAAAAGGTGCAGCCAGAGTGTTCCTTGGAGGCAAGGATGGCAAAGCTTGATCTCACTTTGGACATGTTGCCAGGAGAGGTTATTCCTTGGAGAAGGATATCATGCTTGGAAAAGTGGAGGGAAGTGAAAGAGAGAAAGACCCTCAACTAGGTGGATTGACACAGTGACTGCAGCAATGGGTTTGAGTGTGTCAAAGATTGAAAGAATAGCACTAGGCATGACAGGCAGGGTTGAGATCTGTTGCTTATAGGATCACTATGAGTCATACTCAACTTGATGGCACTTAACAACAACCTATTTGGTGGTTTTAAACCCACTTGTCCGATACTGGGTCCTCCACTCTCAGGTATGTAGTATCAGGATGCAGGGGACACATCTTGCTTGCTGAAAATGAGGAGGACCTGAAGCATTTGCTACAAAAGGTCAGGGAATAGTCTTAAATATAGATTGAAGATCAACATCAAGAAGCTAAAGATTCTCACCACTAGGCAAATTGGCAGCACCATGATAAATAGAGAAGAGATTGAGGTTGTTAACAATTACAGCTTGCTCAGCTCCACAATCAACATTCTTGGCACCAGCAGTCAGGGAATCAAAAGATGAATTGCACTAAGAAAGTCAGAGACATCTCTAGAGTACTGAGAAGCAACAATGTCAGTCTTGAGACTAAGGTACACCTGATCCAGGAAGACCATGGTCTTTGCAATTACTTACTATGCATCAGAGATCTGGAAATTGACTAAGGGTGACAGAAGAAAGACTGATGCCTTTGAGTTGTGGTTCTGGAAAAGAGTCTTGAACATACCATGGACTGCCAAGAAAACAAGTAAGTAAGTCTGTCTTGAAGAGGGTGAAACAAAGTTTCTCCTTGGAGGCTAGGATTTTGAAGCTCTGTCTCACAAACATTGTGCATATGGCCAGGAAGAAGTAGTCCTTGGCGAAGAACATCATGCTTGGAAGGGTGAAGGGACAGTGTGGGAGAGGAAGATCCCAAATGAGATGGATTGATACAGTAACTGGGATAATGATGGTAAGTGTGTCGGAGACAGTGAAACTGGCTCATAACAGGGCAGGCTTCAGAACTGTTGTGCATAGTGTCACTATGAGTCCCAGGTGACTCTACAATGCATAACAAAACTTCCATGATTAGTTAAGTCTTCATAATAAATTAGGCCAATCAGACCTATATTCTATGTACTGATCATTTTAATCCTGAATGAAGACACAAAAAACCTAAAGGGAAATTACTGAATTATTTAAGGGTTGTTAGCCATCACAATGGTATTGAAGTTTCACTACTGAAACATCTGGAGTTGTTTTGATCCTTTCTCTCCTGGAGCCTGACTCTTCTATTTTTCTTTGAAGTCCATAAGTCACACAAGTACCTTTTCAATAAAATTTTATTGTCTCCTGAATACTTGTCTTAAAAAGATATTTTTAATTACTTGCAGCCAAAAAATCTTAAATAAATTATTAATTCGGGAATATTAATGGGGGGAAAAGAGAGCTCTGGTGGCTTAGTGTTAAAAACATGTACTGCCAACCTAAAGGCACACAGTTGCTCTGGAAAAAAAGATGGGCTATCTCCTCTTATGTGAACGGTAGCCTCTGAAAATCCACATAAGATCATCTATGAGTCAATCCCAACTCAGTGGTGCATAACAACAATAATAGAAAAACAGAGTCAATGACTGTTTCTGGACCTCCAGAGTTAAAAGATCTGCTGGAGTTCATCTTAGAAAGGATTAAACCAAGCTACTCCTTGGAGGCAAGGATTCTGGGGCTTCGTCTGACATAGTTTGGACATGTTTCCAGGAGGGATGGGTCCTTGGAGAGGGACATCATGCTTGGGAGGGTGGAAGGACAGTGCAGGAGAGGAAGGCCCTCTATGAGATGGATTGATTTGGTGACTGGGGTAATCGGGATGAGTGTGTCAGAGGCAGTGCGGTTGGCGCAGGATAGAGCAGGGTTTAGGGCTGTTGTGCATAGGGTCGCTATGAGTCGCAAACAACTCGATGGCACATAACAAAAACAACAAGGATTATGAAACTATTGAAATTACAATCGCTGTTTCTGAGCAGGAATTAATTGTAATTGATTCAAATCAGACATTTGAAATTGAAGGCAGATGAGATGATAGTAATAGCTATATCTTTAAAATATGGTAAAAACTAATTTTTTCACTCAATTGTCATCCTTTTTTACACAGCTTAATCATGTGTACGACTTTCATGAGTCATCATTCAGTCAAGGGTCCTATTTTTCTAGGGTCCCAGAGACCATGCAACATATACCAATGTTTTACAGTGTTTTATTGAATATATGCAATGTAAGTTTATTTTTATAAACTTATGAGTTTTGACATTTCTCACCATATTTCTTCAGTGAGGAATATGAAATATTTTGGGCATGTTACTAGGAGAGTTTTTTCCCTGTGGAAAGATATCATGCTTATTAGTTTTTGTTGTGTATCATCAAGTCAGAATTGAGTCATAGCTGATCTTATGGGTTTTCAGGGGCACAGGAGGAGATTGTCCATATTCTCCTGTGGAGCAGCTTGTGGATTTGAACTGTGTGTCTTTGGGATTGCAGCAAAGTTTCTTATCACTAGGCCACCAGAGTTCCCTTGAATATATGAAAGGTGAAGAATAAGAATATTCAACAAGAAAACAAGCATTGAACACACTCCTATTATTCTTAGTATTAAATACAGATTGAAAAAGGATGAGTTAATATCAGGAGAAAATAAAATATAGATATAAATAATATTTTAGTCCATCAAAGAAAGAAAGTTTGATTAGTATTAACTCAGACAATCTAAATTTACCTGTGCTTTTGAAACATTGTAGTGTCCTGGGCCTGGCACAGCTTTCCCAGCATTAGAGTCAACAGGAAAAGAACTTTCTCTGGTAGCCAAAGAAAGAAATGGTGCATAGCCATCTATAAAAACAAAATACAACTTATAAATAAGATTCTAAGAATTTCCAATAAAAATCTCTCAACATATACTCATTACCATTTACTTAAAATTTACACCTAGATCAAGTAGCTGTTGTCCGAATGAAACAAGGGAACACTGTATGATTTAAAATCATAAAGGGTGTGTGTCAGGGTTTTATCTTTTTTCCACACCTACTCAATCTGTATGATGAGCAAATAATTTGCAAAGCTAGGATCTATAAAAAAGAATGTGGTATCTGGATTGGAGAAGGACTCACCAACAATCTGCATGATGCAGATGACACAACCTAATTTGCTGAAAGGGAGGAAGCTATGAAACACTTGCTGTAGGAGATCAAAGACTGCAGCCTTCAGTATGGACTGCAACACAACATCAAGAAAAGAAAGGTTCTCAGTACAAGACCAATCAATAATCCTTATTATGCTTGAGGGATAAAGAATTGAAGTTGTCAATGATTTTATCTTACTAGGATCAACAGTCAACATCCTTGATTCCAGCATTCAGGAATCAGGAGACGTATTGCATTATTCAAGTCCACTCTCATGGACCTCTCCAACCTCTCCATGCTGAAGAGCAATGATGTCAACTTGAAGACTAAGGAGCACAGGATACTGGCCATGGTCTTCTCAATCACCAGATATGCATCAGAGAGTTGGACAATGAATAAGGATGGTGGAAGAAGAATTGATACCTTTGAGTCATAGTATTGGAGAAAAACACTGAATATCCCAATGGCTTCCAAAAGAACAAAGATTTATGTCCTGGAAAAAAGTGCAGCCAGAATGCTCCTTGGAGGCAAAGATGACAAAGCTTCATCTTTCATAGTAGGCAAGGCTATTCCTTGGAAAAGGTATATCATGCTTAGAAAACTGGAGCATCAGTGAGGAGAGGAAAACTTCCAATGAGACGGTTTGACACAGTGACTTCAGCAGTGGTTCTAGTATATCAGAGATGATGAAGATGGTAGAAAATAGGGCAGAGATGAGGCTGACTGTTTGTAATATCACTACGAGTTATACACAAGTTGATGGCAGCTAACAATAACAACAACAACCTCAATTGTTGAGACTATATATTCAGACCCAATAGCTCAGCTGGTAACCAAAATGTTGACATTCCAGAGATGTTTCAAAAGAAAGGATTGTCAATTTACTTCTGAAAAATTACAAAATTGAAAATGTTATGGCACAGAGTCCTACTCTGGTACAAATGAGGTTGTCATGAGGTGGCATCAACTTATCAAGTGGTTGGTTGGCTTCTTAGTTGAATGATTATTTGAGACCAAATATTAAACATGATCCTTGCTACTTTTATCAAATCAATAAGCAAGTTATTGCTCACATAGTATACTAATGTTCTACCTAAAGAGATAACGCAGTAGAAGGATTGTTCACAAGATTTCCTACCTGAAAAAAAAAGTCGTCTTCAATGATGAAACCACTTTCATTATCTAGAATGTTATTCAGTCACAAGAGTATATTTCTAATGGTCTACAAAATTGGTTGTTCTGCACAATAAGCGAAAATTTAGGTGATACTCTTTATGATAGAGCATTATTGCATCAAGATCAATCAATAGATTTACTATTTGAATTAATTTTGACATAAAGAAATTACTGTCTTATAACCAACTAAATTTCAAAATTAAAATTACAAAAGTATATTTATAAAAACAAATTTGTTTTTTAAAATGTACATTTCACTATAATATTTGTTGTGATTATTAGTGGTGTTGTTGTTAGGTGCCATCCAGTCAACTACTGTTCATAACAACCCTATGTATAGATCTGAACCTTACTCTATCCTGCATCATCCTCATCATCTCTGTCATACTCAAGTTCATTGTTGTAGTCATTTCACAAATTCATGTTTTTTTAAGGTCTTCCTCCCTGTCAGCAACCCTTCAATCTTACCAACATGGTATCTGTCTGCATGGGCTTGTTATTTCTGAAAATATGCCCAAAGTAAGTTAGACCAAGTTTAATCACACTTGTCTCTAAAGATCATTCTGGTTGCACTTCCTTCAAAAATAAATTTCTTTGTTCTTTTGATAGTTCATGGGATATTCAATATTCTTTGCCAATACCACAATTCAAATTCATAGATGTCCTTCTGTCCTCCTTAATCATGGTCCAACTTTCAGATGCACAGGAAACAATGCAAAATACTATACCTTGAATCAAGTAAACTTAGGCTTTTTACTTACATCATTACTCTTTAGCACTTTGAAGAGTGCAAATTTTTCTGATACAAAATATCTTTGGATTTCTAGCCTGTGGCTCCAAGTAAAATTAAATTGTTGACTACTACAATCTTTTCTGTATCTATCTTGATGTTGCCTACTAATTATTGGTAAGAATTTTGGGTTTTTTACATTGAGATGTAACTGATAATGAAGGCTGTATAGTCTGAACTTCTACACTAAATGCTTCATATCTTAACTTTCTGCAAGCAAAATTGTATAATCTGCATAATGCTGATTGTTGATGATTCTTCCTCCAAAACTCATGCCACATTCTTCATATACTCAAGTTTCTCAAATTATTTGTCCAGTACATAGTTTAAGTATGGAGAAAAGATAAAGCCCTGACATATAATCTTCCTGATTTAAAGCCATGAATTGTTCTCTTTTTCTATTCAGGCATTGGCTGCTTGATACATGTGTAGGTTTTGCATGGATACAAATGTGTTCTGGGATTTACACTTTAAGCAATAATTTGTTATGATCTACAAAGTCAAAAGTGCACAGCAGTGAATTTTAATGTCTAGGATATGTATTTTTTTAAGAATTCTTTCTCATTTTGGCAACTTTAAATCTTCATAGATTCATGCATTGTACATCCACTTACTTTTTCTAAATAAAAAATAATATCCATGAAGAATATGTTCCTTTAAACTATGATCCATAAGAGGTCAAATGATAAACATTTGCTAAAAAACAAAGACAAAAAAATAAGGAGAGGTAAAGAAGCAGGAAGGATAGAAACAAGGCACACAGGGAAGGTGGAATTGGTGAAAGTGCCAACAAATTGCAAGAATAGTAACCAATGTCATGGAACAATTTGTGTACAAGTTGTTGATATTAATTCAATTTGCTGTGTAATTATAAACCTAAAACACAAGAAAACATTTTTAAACCATAAAATAAAGCAAAAAATAATATATCTAAAAAAATCAAAGAAAGTTGAAATAACTATAAGACAGACTCTAGAGGAAGAAATATTACCAAAGATGAGAGAGATTTTATAATGATAAAAAATTCATTCTATTAAGAGGATTTAACAGCACGTAAAGAATATCAAGATTATTAACATAAAAATCGGTATCTCCTTGCCATTCAGTCAGAACCTACTCATCGCTAACCTCTAGGAGGACTTTGGGAGCCTGTAAATCACAGGAGAGGAGAGTGCCCATATTTCTGTCAATGATCCACTGGTGCATTCAGACTGTTAGAGAAACATAAAGAGGATGGCAGTGCAACTCCCTATGGACTATGCCACCAGAACTCTATAAAATCAGGAAAGCACTTACTTTTAGAGGAGTTGTTAAATACTATCTTGTAAATGAAGTTTGGTAACTTCTATTTCTTGACTTGACTGTTTGCTTTGTAAACAGGACAATATTTTTTTTCATATAATTTTCTACATAAATATTGTTGGTTTTGTTTGCCATCAAGTAGGTTGTCAAAGGCAATAAATTTCATGGGAGAATACCTATCTTTCTCCATGCAGCATCTGTTGGACTTGAACCACATACCTTTGGCTTGGCACTGCAATTTCTTTCCAGTGGGTCACCAAAGCTCCCTGTATAAGTGCTGTTGTTAACTGCTGTTAAGTCTACCTGTAGCTGATAGAAACCTCATGCATGATGAGATCATGAGTCTATTGTGATAGATAATGTTTCAATGGCCAAGTTTTAGTAGTATATTAGTAGATCTTTCACAGATTTTTTTTCCCTACTCTGTTTTATCTTGGAATTCTGATGAACCCTTTATTGATAGGAAGATAGTCATTGTGCCTTTAGTATACCAGCAGGCAATTAAATCAGGACATCCTGCACGGAGGCAAGAATTCTACCACTGGACAGAAAGGGGCTCAGGGCCCTCTTAGTTCACAATTATAAAGTTCATAATACAAACACTGAGACAGTGGAGATAAATTTATTTAAAACAAAGAAGGCTATCTCAGGCTAGGCTCTGAGGTCACTGTCATCAGATACATAAAACATCTTAATTGACTCTTCCTAAATAAATATAAAATTATCGATTAAATGCATAAGTTAAAAAAATTGGGAGGAAATTCTACATCTAATAGCCTTTTGTTGTCAGCAGATACTAGAATATATATTGTAGGAAAGTATAAAGCACAAAAAGCATCAAGAAAGCCAGCACAAGATGTTCAGGTGCTGGTGAAAGATGGGCCTGGAACACCCCTGGAGAAAAACTACTCTACTTTGGTATCCGGCCACTACAGGACCAACCAAAGAGGACAAGATCATTTAAGAGAGGAGGCTGCAATCAGGTGAGAGGCTCATTTCCACAGCTGGCAAATTTAAGTGCTAGTGAGCTAGCACTATTTTAACATCCCCTGTTTTCTGGTTATATAAAACAACAACAACACCAGCAAATGATCTCAGTTCTTTAAAAAAAAAAAAAAGAAAGCATTCACACTTAAAAATGGGACAAAGTGGGATTCCCTTCTTAAATTTTTTTTTTAGAGCTACTAATAAATTTGCATTTACAAAATAGGGGCTAACAATATTCCTCTACCTACTGCCCCTGGACAGACCTACTCAAGCTGGGAAACCCAGTTGCACCACTCCACAGACAAAAGAGAACAATACTCTGTAGGAAAGGGTCTGCAATAATGTGAAACTCTCACAGGCTTCACTGTGTATCAGAGAAGACGACATGAAGGACTCCAGGAAAAATACAAACATTCCTACTCCACAGACCCAGAAAGGACTTCTAATAGAGCAAA